CGGCCTCTCAAAGTGCTGGGATTACAGGCTGAGTCACCGAGCCCGGCCAACTTCACTTATTCTGTAACCCCGTGGATGATGTTCCAGGGTTTGATGAATCCCAATTTTGGATGACTCTGGCCTCCAATGCTCCCAATTCCATTGCAAATTTAACACATCAAATGGTCAAATATTGGCAGTTTTGTATAGTTAAACCTAATATAATAAATTATATGTCTATATATTGTATATACTAAAAGGCAATGCCTTTGTAGCAGTCATTTCTCTTGCTGATGCTCACTGTCTCTTATATTTGAATTAAAATTTTAATTGTTAACTATACCTGCTTTAAAGAGAATACTTTTTCCAAATAAAAATTTCTCATTATTTTATTCTCAAACACTTGTTATTCTTTGACTTCTTTATTTCTGGCTTTGCTAAGGATGCCTAGTCATTTGAATATGGTTGGTTGAATACTTGCTGTTTTCTCAAAAATACTTATTTTTCTCAAGATCTTCTCTGGGATGAGGTCATAACGCACCCATCCTGACCTGCAATCACAGTCCAGCTGACAGGATAACTGAGTGATCTTATGTCATACTTTCTGTGAATGGTAAGGTGCCACACAGATAGTGTGTTCTTTTATATCATCTTTTGGTTTCAAGAATAGCACATTATTGCCCAAATGCAGGCACTCACTAAATTATAGTTATCAAACTTCTAGGGGTCCATTCTTCTGAGCTGAGATGTCATTGTGAGGTGATTGGAGTCAAAGACCTGTGTCACCTGACTGTGCCATCCTGCAAGGAAGTCCCCTGACTCCATGACTTTTCCAGCATCAGCTGTGAGCATGGTGAAGGAGGAGGCAGTTGCCTGAGTCAGTCACCAGCATTTGTCCCTCCAGATCTTAAAACTTTCTCTGAATTATGAAGTGGAGTGGTGGTAATAGTGTTGAAATGATAAGTCAGTTTACCTTGAAGCAAAACAAGCATTCATGCAGTCTTCCATAAAATAATTTACTGAAGTAAGCAACAGAATCTGTCAGCAATTTAGAAGTCCCTTAAAAGTTTAAACTCTGGTTTTTTGTTCCTTTTTCTTCCCTGCTCTTCCTTTTCACTTGAAGAATTGAGAATTTCCTAAAGACTTCCTAAAGTCCCAAACCACTGGGTAGGGTTGAGCATGATGGGTGTCTGTGAGGTGGGAGAGATGGGGAGGGAATTGATTCTGGTCCTAAGAGGTAAGGAAGGGTTATCCTCTTGAGGGTAGCCTGCTGAAAGGATCCAACCTTTTTTGCTGTGAGGAAGCCACCTGCTGACCTAGTGAAGAATTTGGCATGTGGGGGGTACAAAGGGGATAAGCAGTAGCCACTCCCAAAACTTCACATTACAAAGAAAAAAAATAAAATATGTCATACTAATACTTCTATTTTTACTTACCTCATTTATTTGTTGGAAGGATGGCAATACATAGTAATACATGTACACATATATACCTACAATCTCTTACCTTCCTTCTGCCACCCTAATAAATTGTTTTCCTTTGTTTCTTGCTTTCATGATCCCAGTTCGTTTCTTATGCATATATGATGTTACTTCAATGATAATTAAGACATAATGTTACATTCTGCCATTTTTTTCTCCTCTGAATAGTAAGACTGACTGATTCTTAAGGAGGATCCTTAGATAGCCAGGACCCTTACCCTCAGACTTTTCCGTTCCTCTCTCCTTCTCTGTGTTTCCCATGTGGACTGAATTTATTATTCTGTCTAAAGAGCATTTATTAAAATGGCAGGAGGGCAACCTAATTGTTTTTAGATCTCTCTATGTTTTGTGAGTTAGATGGTTAAAACATGATTTATGATCCAATGCTTTTATTTGTTTATTCGCATCTTATTTATGTTGGATAAATGTGATCTCACTATTTACTTAGAGATCATTATTTATGACCCCTTCTCCTCCCCTGTTTCAGATAGCTACTACAGACACATTCAATCATTGTTTCTAGTTAAGCAAAAATGCATCATTCAAAATGTATATCTGTGCCTGTTCACTCTGGCTACCACTGTAGGTTTGGGTATATATTCTTTATCAGGTGACCCTTTTGTGCAACAATGATTTGGACAGAAGTAAAACCCCTGATGGAAGTGTAAGCATTTGATGTCCATATAAAAATCTTTTAATACCTTTGTCATTTCCTCTAATGCATGGATTTACAAAATCCTGCAGAGACTTGGTTTTTGTTGAAGATGAAAATTGGCATGAACAGTCAGTAACAATATAAATTAATATATGATGTGTTTTATGAAGTCCATTGTAAATATGATTTAAGACATTTAATAAAAATACACCTTGTATTGAATAAACTTTTCTTTCTCAACTAAAAAAAATAATAAAAAATAAAAACACACCTGAGATTCTATTCAGAAAGCTCTCATTCCCTATGATATATACACATTTTATTTTCTAAGTGACTTTATTGCACTTTTATGACATAAACTGTTTGCCTTTACTTTTTTGAGTATTTGCTTTATGATTTTTCGATACTTCCAATTACTTACACATGAGTTAGCTTTTCATTGCAAATACATGTCAAGGCTTATAGTGTCTTAAACTCTTTGTTATATGAGGCTATTTTTTCCCTTAACTTGATGTATAAAAGGGAAAAACATTTTACTTGAATGAATCGAGCCATAGTTATGTTTAATTTACTGTAGTGGTGAATAGTACATGTGTGTTTCCAGTGGTTAGGAGTCTTTTCATAATGCAATGTCTTTTGATCTTTTTCCTTATACAAAATACTTATTAAAATCTGAAGTCACCTCTTTCTTTTTTTTTTTAAATCTGAGAATACCCCTATAGGGTCTTAGAACATTACCCCTACTGCTAATAAATTAGGCTTAATTTTGGCAGTGCTTGCTGGTTTGGTTTGTTGACTTAAGCGTGAACTATAAAAGGCTCTACTCTAACTTGTATTGATAGCATGCAGAAAGCCAAGTTGGGTTATAGGATATACCCCTCTCTCAGACTCTCCTGGAAGTTGGATGTGATGGGTAGGATTGTTCTTCTGGTAGTTCACTGGGTCACTTTCCTCAGTTTAATCCTAAAGACTGGTTTGGTCTAAATAGAAGCAACCCTTTCCAGGGCATAGTTGATCTTAGTATTGAAATCTTTATTTGTTCCTTCAATACCTTTGGGAGGCCCAAGATGCCACTCCTGGTCATCTCCACTGTGTTCAGCAGTCACACCCTCCTACCCTTGATTTTTGTGGTAGTTTCTGGGACTTAGTTTCCTAAGTATAGAAACTTAGTTTCCTAAGTATAGAAACTTAGTTTCCTAAGAGTCTTGGCTCTTGCTTTTCTCTTTTTGTATTACATCATCAGTTCTCTGAGGCTGAGGAAGAACCTTATCTATTCCTTCCATTTGATCAGATGTAATGACAGCTACTGACAACAAGCTCAGAGCTGTTTTAGGGACTTGTTCTACTTGGATAGTGCAATTCATAGTAAATGGTGGGGAGAGGAGTGCTGGGGGCAGAGAGTGGGCCAAAGGGAAGCAGAATGGACTCACATTCCTTTTTTAAATGTAGTTTTATTTTATTTTAGAATGTGGGGTACAAGTAAGGATTTACCACACAAGTAAGTTGCATGCAGGCATAGTTTGAACTTTTAACTGGCCCTCTCTCCTTCTGATAGTGAACCAGGTACCCAGTGTGTTGCCAAGTGCCACCATCTCCCTGTCCATCTCCTAACAGTGTCCAGCATCTGCTGATCTCACCCATGTGCTAATGTGACCAGTGGTTAGGACCCACATATGTGTGAGAACATGTGATATTTAGTTCTTTGTTTCTGTGATAATTTACTTAGTGTGATGGTCTCCAGCTATATCTGTGTTGCTGCGAAAGCTGTGATTTTGTTCTCTTTGTGGTTGTGTAATATTCTATTGTGTATATGTACCACATTTTCTTTATTCAGTCCACTTTCAATGGGCATCTGGGTTTTTTTTCTATTTTATTTTAGAGTTGTGAGGTACAAGTGATGATTTACTACATAAGTAAGTTGCATGCAGGTAAAGTTTGGGCTTGTAGCAGGCCTTCTCTCCCCCGATAGTGAACCTGCTATGTTTTTGCTTTCTCACATTCCTTTTGAAGGGATACTAAATTATGAGTAATCCAAAATCCAAGGCAAAGTGCCAGACACTCGTCAAAGTTTCATAGGTTTAAAACGAAGGCAGATAATTTGGAATTTTTTGGACATCTCTTATGACTGAGTACACTCCACCATTATCACTATTATTCACACACATTTTTAGGAGAACAACATTTATTCTCACCATTTTTTTCAAAGTTTTGAGGCAGCTTAGAGTCCTCAGAGAACCACGGAGATAATCACTCACCAGAGTAAAGCTTGAAGTTCAGCTCTAACCCCACAGATATTTGAGTTCTTTCTGCGAATACTCTCAGATTAAAAACAAAAGTTGGAGGGATCTCTTTTTTTTTTTTGAGTTGGAGTCTCACTCTGTCGCCCAGACTGGAGTGCAGTGGCCGCTCCTGGCCACCGCAGCCTCGCCTGCTGGGCTCCGGCAATCCTTCCGCCTCAGCCTTCCAGGTAGCCGGAATTACAGGCATGTGCTACCTTGCCCGGCTGATTTTTTGATTTATTGTAGAGATGAGGTCTCACTGCCCAGGCAGGTCTCGAACCCACGGGCTTAGGCAATCCACTCACCTCAGCCTCCCAAAGGCGTGGGATTACAGACTGAGCCACCGAGCCCGGCTGGATCTCTTATTTTATTATTATAATTTGTCTAATCACACTGAAGGTGAGTCCAACTAGAGGTTCCATGCCCTGCTATTTCAGCTTAGAGAAGATCATTCATTGGCATAAGTCTTATAAGCATGCTGTGTTAATATGGTGAAGAGTTTTCTGGCACTGATTCTTTGAGTGGTTGTGAGTTTAGCATTGTGTTCTGGTTTATGTGCTGTCCGAGTGGGCTGTGTTCTGATGTCCTCTTCAATTTTGCAGGAACTGACAATGGCGAAGCCCTTCCTGAATCGATCCCATCAGCCCCTGGGACATTGCCTCACTTCATAGAAGAGCCAGATGATGCTTATATTATCAAGAGCAACCCTATTGCACTGAGGTGCAAAGCAAGGCCCGCCATGCAGATATTCTTTAAATGCAACGGCGAGTGGGTCCACCAAAATGAGCATGTCTCTGAAGAGAGTCTGGATGAAAGCTCAGGTAAGAATGTGGAGCAGACAGAAGAAGCCATGGTGACTTTTCAGATACTCACATTGTTGTATGACTAGCAAAAACTGTGGGAAGCATCCCCATTGCCTTATGTGAATGAGGTCATACTTATATCACTCCAGACATAGAAGATGCTACCCTATCTTTTTTTTTTGTT